TATATATATATATATATATATATATATATATATATATATATATATATGAAGGATATATAAGTACAGTCCTTTTACCATTTACCATTTATGTATAAAGAAATAATCAGGTGAGCAGGTTTAGCTGTGTTGGCAGACAGGTGATTGTACGAGTGCAGGGGAAGAGGCAGGATTATTGAAAAGGAGCAGAACGAAAGATGTGGTCAGAACCACACCATCACTGGTGAAACACTAATTTTGGGATCTTTATATAATCTAAAGATGTCAAATTGAAATAAAAAAAAAATGTTAACTGTGTATTTTGCCTTATTCGTTACAAGAAATAAAAGCTATTGGAACTGGAGAAAAACTAGAAATATTACATTTGTACCTTTAAACCAGTGATTGTCAGGGTCACAAGTCTGCTCTTTGGATTTTGTGGGTTAGAAGCTTGAGAGTTTGGATACTGGTGATCGTATTTGCTTGCTTCTCTCTCCATAAGTTTAAAAGTACAAACTGGCGTTCAAGAAAAATAAACAGGCAGCAGACTGAGTGAAGAAGATGGCGATATAACGATAACAAATTTTGCTGAGCGATTAATTGTCTCCGAAATTATTGCGATAAATGATAATCCATCCATCCATCCATCCATCCATTATCTTTTACCCGCTTCTTCCATTTTGGGTCACGGGGGTCGTCGGTGCCCATGTCCATCAATCACTGCGTGAGGGGCAGGGTACACCCTGGACAGGTCGCAAGTCTATCACAGGGACACATAGAGACAAACGAGACAAACAACCATTCACTCTTTCACTCACACCTAGGGACAACATGCATGTTTTAGTCTGTGGGAGGAAATCAGAGTACCCGGAGAAAACCCACGCATGCTCGGAGAGAACATGCAAACGCCACCCAGAAAGGCCTCTGGACCGGGGTTTGAACTGGGGACCTGCTCGCTGAGAGGCAGCAGCTCTACCAGCTGCGCCACCGTGCTGCCCATAAACGATAATATTCTTTGAAATTTAACAATAATTAATTGTCAAATTTTAAAAGAAATGTTGATTTGTTTGGAGTGTCATACCTTTTTTGACCACCTGATGGCAGTATAAGACTGTTTGAACCAAAGGATAGATCGTTGGGCAGCATGTCTCTTTAAGACAAAAGGGAAGGAGGGTCCTTGATGTGACATGAGCTGACATGGGCTGACTTGGTAACATGGCGGACGCTCGGTGATTTGAGCTCTTTAGCATAGCATCTTTCACACAAAGCTTGTAATTTAAAAAAATCAGTAAACAAGTTCTCAGCTTCTTTTTGCAGAGAAAAACAACTTTTTACACAAAGGCATGGGTTTCAACAGTGAATTTTAGAGCTCGACAAGACTTTTTTTCCTGAGGTCGGCCTTTTAGCTTAGCTTCTCAGTTTAGCCGCTTTTAACGATCCAAAAAAGGCGGTTTGGGATGTTTAAAACAAATTTTAAAGAGAAAGTTGAGCCGTGTCGCCAGTAAAAAGAGAGAGACACGAAGAAACAATAAAGCCAGCAAATGTAAATGAGGTCCATAATTTTCATTTATCATGCGATAATTGATTTATTGTTTATCGCAACAGGCCTAGATATAAGGCCTGACTGACGGGGAGATGGATTGCAGGTTTAGACGAACGTCACAGGGGAAGTAATGACCAACACCTTCATTTGTTACTCACCCACTCACTCGCATGCACGCACACACATGCAGGAGAAACGTCCGACAGTGACATATGTGTTGACTGATCGTTGCACGCACACGTGATGACTCGAGTTAAAAATAGCCTTAAACTTGTCCTCGTTTTTACAGCTTTCCCAGAATTTTTCACAAACTTTTTGCTGAATGAAATTTATTAGATCGATTTTGTGTCCAGCAGCCCTCGTAACATTATTTAATTAGCAGTATTTAGAAATAATGACACTTAATTATGTCTGGATTGGGATGTGATAATTGACTTGTTCACAGAAAAATACTCAGACAAAATAATCTCGCCACAGCTGATAAACAAAAAAAATATATATTTTTTTTATTTAATTTAATTTTATTTGTGGTGGCACAGTTCATGGAGGTTGCTGGATCAAATCCCGCCCAAGGATCTTTGTGGGTGGAGTTAGCATGTTCTCTCCGTGCTTGTGTGGGTTTTCTCAGAGTGCTCTGGTTTCCTCCCACAGACCAAAAACATGCATGTTAGGCTGATTGGTAACTCTAAATTGTCTCTAGGTGTGAGTGAGAGAGTGAATGGTTGTTTGACTCTGTGTGCCTCAGTCTTGTTAAGACCAGCTGCTAGTTACTTTACTTCTAAACCACCAGTTCCTACGATTTTGGCCATTTTTGTGTCTTTCAGTAAGTATTAATGAGCTGCAAATGGATTTTTATGTTTGCTTTTTCTTGCACACACATGCTCATATAATCACAGCTGCATAAGTGAGGAAGTGTGTTTCTATGTAGCAGTGGCTCAGGATGTTGGCGTACAAGTGACAGAACACAGTGATGTGTCTGCTGTTTGCCGCCATACATGAAGACACACTCATACATGTCCAGGTGCTCAGTTTTCACTGTGTTTACCCTGACCTATATAGCCAGTTATGTGAATGTGCACCTCAGTGACTCTGACACCCAGAGGAAGAAATAAGAATGGAGTGAGAGAAGGGAGAGAACAGAAGAAGACAAAGAGCCAGAGATGGCAGATGTAATCAGACAATAAAAGAAATAAGCCATGACAAGGTTTAAAATAGTGTTTCAAAAGAGAATTTGAGGACATTAGCCTTACACAAATCACTTTCCTTTTTGCTCCAGTTGTTTTTCACTGATGTGTAGCATTGGGAGACAATGAGGATCTACGTTCCTGCTCATCATTTTGATTGGCTGGAGCAAGTTTCAATGTCAGGATGGTACAGCCCAAATTTACCCCCTTTTCAGACTCAAGCCAAATGCTACTTTTTTTTTTTATTATTATTTAGACTTCACCTATGTTCTTCACATTCATGCTCTGGGATTTAAGGTTTCAGTATCTTATTTTGTTCTTTCTTGTGTGTGTAAGGGTGAAGGGAGAGGGGTAGGGATAATGGGTCTGTCAAAG